GCAAAACTGGCCTAAACTTTTTCACTATATTTTTCAATAAAAACTGCAGATCTATATTGTATATCTGCTAAATGTACTATTAATGGGAGAATATCAGGAAATGTTGATCAAATTTTGGGACTGAAAAAAATGGCATACTAACCACTGTCGTTTTTGAGCAAAATTGGCCTAAACTGTTTCACTCTATATTTCAATAAAAACTGCAGATCTATGTTATATATCTGATTAATGTACTATTAATGGGAAAATATCACCCGTAACCTGTTCATGATTATTAATGAGGGGGGCTGGTCGACGTGGAGTGACGTCACGAGCGTTGCACACAGACATTTTTGGTTCATTATAGTAGGTAATAATAATAGGGGGGGGGGGTGTCCATTTGGAGGACGTCACCTGTTCATGATTATTAATGAGGGGGGCTGTTCGACGTGGAGTGACGTCACTTGCGCATGATAATTAGTGAGAGGGGGAGTGCTCCATATTTATTGACGTCACCCGCTCATGATTATTAATGAGGGGTGGGGGGGGGTGTCCATTTGGAGGACGTCACCTGCTCATGAATATTATTGAGGGGGGCTTGTCGATGTTGAGTGACGTCATGAGCATTCAGGACAGACATTCCTGGGTGATCATAGTAGGTATGTTGGCGAATATCAGGAGAAATTGCGAAAGTTTTTGGACTGAAAAAAATAGCATACTAACCAGTCTTTTTTTTGTAAAATTGGCCTTTAAAATGTGACTATATATTTTAATATAAACTGCAGATCTTCATTGTATATCTGCTAAATGTACTATTAATGGGAGAATATCAGGAAATATTGCGAACAATTTGGGACTGAAAAACATGGCATACTAACCAGTCTTTTTTTTAGTAAAATTGGCCTAAATTTTTTCACCATATATTTTAATAAAAACTGCAGATCTTTATTGTATATCTGCTAAATGTACTATTAATGGGAAAATATCAGGAAATATTGCGAACAATTTGGGACTGAAAAAATGGCATACTAATCACTGTCGTTTTTGAGTAAAATTGGCCTAAACTTTTTCACTCTATATTTCAATAAAAACTGCAGATCTATATTGTATATCTGATAAATGTACTATTAATGGAAAATATCACCCGTAACCTGTTCATCATTATTAATGAGGGGGGCTGTTCGATGTAGAGTGACGTCACTTGCGCATGATAATTAGTGAGGGGGGGGAGAGTGCTCCATATTGATTGACGTCACCCGCTCATGATTATTAATGAGGAGGGGTGGGGGTGTCCATTTGGAGGACGTCACCTGCTCATGAATATTCATGAGGGGTGCTCGTCGATGTGGAGTGACGTCATGAGCATTCAGGACAGACATTCCTGGGTAATTATAGTAGCTATATTGGCGAATATCAGGAGAAATTGCGAAAGTTTTTGGACTGAAAAAATGGCATACTAACCACTGTCTTTTTTTTGTAAAATTGGCCTAAAAAATTTCACTATATATTTTAATAAAAACTGCAGATCTTTATTGTATATCTGCTAAATGTACTATTAATGGGAGAATATCAGGAAATATTGCGAAAAATTTGGGACTGAAAAAAATGGCATACTAACCACTGTCGTTTTTTAGTAAAATTGGTGTAAAAATTACATCCTGTCTACGGTCATTTTGGGGTTAATTTGGCGTAAAAATTGTGACTATTAAAGAAAACCTGCAGATCTATATTGTACACCTGCTAAATGTACTATTAATAGAATATCAATAAATATTGCGAAAAATTTGGGACTGAAAAAAATTGGTGGAAAAATTACATCCTATCTACTGTCATTTTGGGGTTAATTTTGGCGTAAAAATTGTGACTATTAAAAAAAACCTGCAGATCTATATTGTACACCTGCAAAATGTACTATTAATAGAATATCAGGAAATATTGTGAAAAATTTGGGACTGAAAAAAATGGCATACTAACCACTGTCGTTTTTTAGCAAAACTGGCCTAAACTTTTTCACTATATTTTTCAATAAAAACTGCAGATCTATATTGTATATCTGCTAAATGTACTATTAATGGGAGAATATCAGGAAATGTTGATCAAATTTTGGGACTGAAAAAATGGCATACTAACCACTGTCTTTTTTTTGTAAAATTGGCCTAAACTTTTTCACTATATATTTTAATAAAAACTGCAGATCTATATTGTATATCTGCTAAATGTACTATTAATGGGAGAATATCAGGAAATATTGCGAAAAATTTGGGACTGAAAAAATGGCATACTAACCACTGTCCTTTTTTAGTAAAATTGGCGTAAAAATTACATCCTTTCTACGGTCATTTTGGGGTTAATTTTGCGTAAAAATTGTGACTATTGAAGAAAACCTGCAGATCTATATTGTACACCTGCTAAATGTACTATTAATAGAATATCAATAAATATTGCGAAAAATTTGGGACTGAAAAAAATTGGTGGAAAAATTACATCCTATCTACTGTCATTTTGGGGTTAATTTTGGCGTAAAAATTGTGACTATTAAAAAAAACCTGCAGATCTATATTGTACACCTGCAAAATGTACTATTAATAGAATATCAGGAAATATTGTGAAAAATTTGGGACTGAAAAAAATGGCATACTAACCACTGTCGTTTTTTAGTAAAATTGGCATAAAATTTTTCACTATATTCTTCAATAAAAACTGCAGATCTATATTGTATATCTGCTAAATGTACTATTAATGGGAGAATATCAGGAAATATTGCGAAAAATTTGGGACTGAAAAAAATGGCATACTAACCACTGTCGTTTTTTAGTAAAATTGGTGTAAAAATTACATCCTGTCTACGGTCATTTTGGGGTTAATTTGGCGTAAAAATTGTGACTATTAAAGAAAACCTGCAGATCTATATTGTACACCTGCTAAATGTACTATTAATAGAATATCAGGAAATATTGTGAAAAATTTGGGACTGAAAAAAATGGCATACTAACCACTGTCGTTTTTTAGCAAAACTGGCCTAAACTTTTTCACTATATTTTTCAATAAAAACTGCAGATCTATATTGTATATCTGCTAAATGTACTATTAATGGGAGAATATCAGGAAATGTTGATCAAATTTTGGGACTGAAAAAATGGCATACTAACCACTGTCTTTTTTTTGTAAAATTGGCCTAAACTTTTTCACTATATATTTTAATAAAAACTGCAGATCTATATTGTATATCTGCTAAATGTACTATTAATGGGAGAATATCAGGAAATATTGCGAAAAATTTGGGACTGAAAAAATGGCATACTAACCACTGTCCTTTTTTAGTAAAATTGGCGTAAAAATTACATCCTTTCTACGGTCATTTTGGGGTTAATTTTGCGTAAAAATTGTGACTATTGAAGAAAACCTGCAGATCTATATTGTACACCTGCTAAATGTACTATTAATAGAATATCAATAAATATTGCGAAAAATTTGGGACTGAAAAAAATTGGTGGAAAAATTACATCCTATCTACTGTCATTTTGGGGTTAATTTTGGCGTAAAAATTGTGACTATTAAAAAAAACCTGCAGATCTATATTGTACACCTGCAAAATGTACTATTAATAGAATATCAGGAAATATTGTGAAAAATTTGGGACTGAAAAAAATGGCATACTAACCACTGTCGTTTTTTAGTAAAATTGGCATAAAATTTTTCACTATATTCTTCAATAAAAACTGCAGATCTATATTGTATATCTGCTAAATGTACTATTAATGGGAGAATATCAGGAAATATTGCGAAAAATTTGGGACTGAAAAAAATGGCATACTAACCACTGTCCTTTTTTAGTAAAATTGGCGTAAAAATTACATCCTTTCTACGGTCATTTTGGGGTTAATTTTGCGTAAAAATTGTGACTATTGAAGAAAACCTGCAGATCTATATTGTACACCTGCTAAATGTACTATTAATAGAATATCAGGAAATATTGCGAAAAATTTGGGACTGAAAAAAATTGGTGGAAAAATTACATCCTATCTACTGTCATTTTGGGGTTAATTTTGGCGTAAAAATTGTGACTATTAAAAAAAACCTGCAGATCTATATTGTACACCTGCAAAATGTACTATTAATGGGAGAATATCAGGAAATATTGTGAAAAATTTGGGACTGAAAAAAATGGCATACTAACCAGTCGTTTTTTAGTAAAATTGGCGTAAAATTTTTCACTATATTCTTCAATAAAAACTGCAGATCTATATTGTATATCTGCTAAATGTACTATTAATGGGAGAATATCAGGAAATGTTGATAAAATTTTGGGACTGAAAAAATGCAGATGTATATTGTACACCTGATATAATATCAGGAGAAATTTCAGAAACATTTGGACCGAAAAAAATGGAATCCTAACCAGTCTTTTATTAGTAAAATTCGCCTAAAAATGGCCACTATATTTGACACTATAAACTGCAGATCTATATTGTACACCTGCTAAATATACTATTAAGGGAAGAAAATCTAAGGGGGCAAATAATGCCATACTAACCACTGTTGCATCACTGGACTGTGTGAGATGGCAGTAGATTTGAGCCTGGCTGATATTGCTGAAGAAAAAGCATTGTAAAAAAAAACACCCTCCAACATGTACCAGTTTTCACCAAGAAATGCAGCCGGACAGACTTTCAGGGCACACAATCGGCGTTTATTTCCTCGCTTGAGCCAGGAGGCCCCCCCCCCCTCCTGCAAAGCCATCGGCCAAACTTTCGCCATTGGGCCTCACGGTGGGGCCCACTTGCGGCGACATCACATTTCACGACGATACAATTACACGATATGACGATTATCGCGAGATTGGTTTCCCATAACTTTGAATTTCGAATCCACACGCGAAATCAACATTGCTTAAACGTAGTTCAACTTGCAGTTCACTGAAACATCATTGCCAATCTTACACATTATAATACTTATAACGCACATGACGTCAGTCACACAAGAAATATTTTAAGTGAACTACAGAATGTATGACAGTCATATATGCCACTGCTGTCAATTACTCCAGAAAACATTTCGCAGAGAAATAATTGAATGCAATCACAGCGATGCTTGCAACCTTGATTACCGAGGTTTCAATTTCAGAAATATTGTCAGAAAACATTTAAGAAATATAGAATCGACAATAATGAAGATGTGGTATTTTGCAAGTGGACTACACAATTACCGTGGACCCGATTTTATACATCACAGTATCGCCGAATCACAGTAACCAAAGTGTCAAGGGCACTGTCACAACGGCCACGACCCCGTTACACGTTCACAACAGCCTTAGTGAACCGCACTGCGCTTGCAAATAGCAATCCATGTTCCAAACACTTCAGCCAGACTGTAAATCCCTGTCCAATGTACACATTACTCTTTGGTTTTTTCGGTAAAGTCACGTAGGTAAAAGATAAAGTAAACAAAATAAATGAAAACTAAATTAAATCACGTTTCGGAAGCAACACAAGTATCTGTCATCAGGTATGACTGCCCCAGCAAAACCACTAGAGCGTATTTTTGCTGGGGCGGTCATACCTGATGACGATGCTTGTGTTACTTCTGAAACGTCGTGATTTAATTTAGTTGTTTTCATTATTTTTTTAATCTTTTGCCTACGTGACTTTACCGAAAAAAACAAAGAGTATGAATCCTTGCAGTGACGAAAGCTTCAAATCTAGAATGTAAACATTGTTTTCCCCGAACCTTTGGTACCCCAGAAAGCAATTTTTGGCGAATGTTTGTTTTCCTAATTGGAACGACGATTTGTTCCCACCAGTGACCACTTGTTCCCTGCTCCTTGTACCCCCCGGGTTAGAGATTAGAGTTGGGAGTTAGGGTTCGACAATGCAATCGTCGATGCAAAAGTTAGCACCAGATGGTACAAAAAAATTAACTACACTGCAAGCAATTGCTTCACAAATAAGTTTGGAAATTAGTCTGAAAATTAAGGCTTTCGTTAGAAACGAATGCAGGGAAAGATTACCGTGTTGCAAAACAATGAGATACACATTTTCAGAGAAAGGGTACCAACATCGCTAGGTTTTCACGGTTGTGCTGAGTTCTCCCATGTGATTTGAACACGTAGGCTTTCGCGACCTAATATCATCCATAATAGAGTTTTTTGGGTTAGATCGCGTAAATATATAAATGTGTTTCAGGGGTTTTGAGGCGTGTTGTTCGGCACGATGTCCAACACTGAATTGAGCAGCTCACTTTCGCTGCCGAAGTCGCTCTCAGCATGTGAAGTGGAACGACGGGACAACGTTCCGATCAACATGCGGCACAATCCAAACACACATCGGAGTAGCTGCACAGCACAACTGCAAAATATGACGCATTAGAGACTTTGCACATTTTTGTAATTAAATAAGGGGGTACAAATATTCACAAGGGGAGCTAATATGCAGGAATATTGGCTCCCCTCCTGAATATTATCACCCGCTTATATTACCAAATAACACTGGTCAACAACAAAACAATTTCTGGCCTGGACTTTTGCAGCTGTTTTAGACTAATTAAAGGGTGTTGATTCCAAATCTGATCTCAGATTTGCTCTATCACATCATTTTTATGCTATTGTCATAACCCATTTTCATTGATTTTACCCGAAATTAACTCTGTCACTTATGATTACAAGTTGTTGCGAGTCAGTGACTGCTTTAGTGTTAAAATATGGTGCTGTATTTTTAGGATAGTGTGTTTATAATATCATTTTATGTAGATATCCACATTTATTTAATATTTTTCATCTGCAGTTTTTATAGAAAATGCAATATTTGATATCTCAAAAACCTGATGTGATAAGACAAAAACTGATGCCAGATTTGGAATCAGCACCCCAAAATTACCTTAAGACCGTTGGGAATACCTTATGCCAGAAAAAGTGTGTTGACCAGTGTAATGATTCCAAGATCGAACAAACATTTGGGGATTAAAGCCAATTATTCCGGCGCAAAATAAATTCGCTGAGACCGAAGTTGATGCTGCGTTCAGAGCTGCAGGTCGCTGGGTCCAAGCGACTTGAAGTACGAGTCGAGGTCCTGACCGGAGACGTCCTCCAAGCGGCTGGGCTGCCACACCGGCTTCTGGTCTTTGTCGATGAGCACTGAGAGAAAACAAAACGGACGTCAGCCACCGCCGGCACTCGACGCATTTCGCGAGACGTACACGATCCTCGCGTCCACGAATGCAATGCGTGACCAAGTTTTTATAAGCAAACGCAATGTGGATAGCGTCCCGAGGCACTCACCTGCACGCACGCCCTTCGTAAAAGTCGTGCCCTCTCTGTGAAAACAAGCAACACGATCCAATCGTTTAATACCACCACTCCAGCTTGCATCAATATGACTGCAGAGGCCCCTATTCCTTAAGGTTTTCAAGGCACTGGATAGGAAGGTGGCCATTACAGTGCTATGTTTAGACGAGATGAGACGATTCTGAATTGGTTTATGAAGCTGCTTAAACTATAGGGGATGTAAATGGCGTACACATACAAGAAACAAAGATAGCCTTCATAGACTGTTGGGACAAGTGCTGAAGGGTGGAGCTGTGACCCAGTGGTTAGCGCACTGCAATATCAACCTGGCAACTGATGTATTAACTACGGCGAGTGATACTTGAAAAGGATATACGGGGGATGTTTGTCTGCGTGTATGTGCGAGTGTGTGCACGCATGTGCACGCGTGTACGAGCCCCACCATGCAGCCCTGAGTGATGCGGTACTCCATCGTGAGCACCTCCGCCAGGCTGAGGTGCCCTCCCTCGCTCAGCTGCCTCAACGCGAGCTTCATCGAGGTCGGAGACATCCGCTTCAGCGTCTGCACTCGAGCGTGGGAGAGAGCGGGCGGGCGGGTGGTGCCGGAGAGCAGTCGAGACGGGGCACGGTGCGCGCATGACACAGGGTCGCGGCATTGCCTCTCCAATCACCAGGCTTGCGATGATTCACAGTGTCGGCTCGTGGTGATCTGATCTGCGAGATTTGGACCTCGCAGCTTTGCGCTTAACGGCCCTTTGGCCTGGAACTCGCTGCCGCTGCGCAATATTTGAGACTATGCAGCCAGTTCACCAGCTCGGTGGAAAATATAAGACGTAACTGATTAATAGAGCTCACAATGTATGAATATTGCGCAATCGTGATTGCTTAGGTTATAAGAGTTGCGCGTTTATAAATATACTTGCAATTTCGATTTAAAGCTTTCGTGACTGCAGGGATTCATCTTCTTGGTTCGGCCACAACGCTGCTTGCGTTGTGGCCGAAACGTCGTGAGAATTATTTTATTATGTTTTATTTCATTATTTTATTATTTCCATTCTACGTGACTTTACCGAAAGAACCAAGAAGATACTAGCAATTCTTCATTATTGCCAGTGGTATAAAGGGGTACACCACAACAGGTCACGTGTGGTAGGTTAAAGTGAGGGTACTCCAAACTCTTCCGAGACGTTTGTCCAGTGTGGAAGAGGAGGCCAAAATACCGTCCAGTGAGCAGAGGCTCTTCCACCAGAAGTGACTTAAGAAAGATATTGCAAGGTTACATCTTTACCGTTTACCGTACACAAAACACACAACATACAGAATTGGCCAAACATCGCATTGCAGGAGCCTCCTTAAAAAGTCTCAAAATTCAGGGAAACATCTTCTTGGTTCTTTTGGTAAAGTCACGTAGAAGGGAAATAATAAAATAATAAAATAAAACATAATAAAATAATTCTCACGACGTTTCGGCCACAACGCAAGCAGCCGTCCTCAGGTGAAGAATGAATCCCTGCAGTCACGAAAGTTTTAAATCGAAATTCAGGGAGGCTTTCCTGAATACCGTTATTGCACAGAATGCAATATTTACGCACAAGCCCAAGGCAGTTACGAACACACCGGCTGGTCAAAGGAAAGTCTCACACGCACATCAACGCGCATCAACGCACATCAACGCGCGCGGCGTGGCGCGTGGGTGGAGGAGTGCCAGACGAACCTGGAGCTGCTGGGTGGCCCACTCGCCGCCGTCGCGCTCCAGGTTTGCCACGATCCCCTCCATGCTGTCCGCCAAAAAAAGCCTGGTCCAGAGTCAGGGGTCAGGAGGACACGGTGAGGTACAAGATTGAGATGTTAACTCCTTCGCCTGGTACACAGGGAGTCGTGGGTTCGATCCCGACACTGACGCCGGTATATTTCGAGTTTGCATGTCTCTCTCCATGGTCGCGTGGGTTTTTCTCCGGGTCCACATTTATAAACGTGCATTTCGAGTATTTGGCTGCTATAAATTGCCATATATGCTACTTTGTTGAGCTATAATTTGTGGCCAGATTATATCTGAAAACAGCTATATAGCTCAGTGGGCTTTACCTGTAAAAATTAAAAGTTTAGTTTAATGTTTATAAACGCATGCACGTGCACACACACACCAAACACAACACGAACAAACACACTTTGTTCACCAAACCGCACTGACCAACGTAGTGAAGTATGGTCAATTAACCCACACGAACCACACAGTGTTACGGAGGCCCTCATGTAGCAGTGGATTGGCAAACGGCCTGTACGTGTGCACGCAAAGCTGACGAGCTGTTGGGCATTCGCTATAAAGAGGTGGTCAGCAGACCATGGCCACTCGCAAGGACACACTCACAGGATCATCATTCCACCACCAAGTTCAAGTAACTTTGGAAAACCAGGTCAAAATTCAGGAGACGAGGGTTAGTCTCATTTGCTCGCAACCTCGGTCGCCAAAATGGCAAAAGCAATGCAGTAGTACAATAAAGCAAATATAATATAAGAGCTGAAACAACCACATTATGAGAGATATGGAAAAAAAAACTTCACGAATATAATCCCCGTGAAAGTAAATAGATTTCCTGTAAAGTAAATTGGATTGAACAATTTTCATTTTGTATACAAATTACTTTTTAGCACCGCATCACTCACCTGTCTATCTTCTCTCTGTGCTCGGCCAATACGAACTTATTGGCCTCATCCAGCTTGCACTGCGGACCCAAGCACATGTCTCAGTCGCGCCATCGAGTCCCAGACGTACAACAGGTTAAGAGCAGGCTTGTAATTGCGCACCCTCGCCATCCGGCGGTTTGATCAACGGTTGCGAACCTAAATTTCGATTTAAAGCTTTCGTGACTGCAGGGATTCATCTTCTTGGTTCTTTAGGTAAAGTCACGTAGAAGGGAAATAATAAAATAATAAAAAGGAAACATAATAAAATAATTCTCACGACGTTTCGGCCACAACGCAAGCAGCCGTCCTCAAGTGAAGAACAGGTCTGTCGGCTGCTTGCGTTGTGGCCGAAACGTCGTGAGAATTATTTTATTATGTTTTATTTTTATTATTTTATTATTTCCCTTCTACGTGACTTTACCGAAAGAACCAAGAAGGTTGCGAGCCTGCTGCTGGTTTATTTCCAGATACTTTTCTGCGGTTGCTGATGGTGTCACTACTGCTGTTCCTGATGATGATTAAATACTACTGCTGATGCTAGCGCTGGTGTCACTATTGCTGATGATGGGTGTCAAGGTTGTTCCGACTGCCGCTTCTGATGGTATTTGCTAATGGTATCTGCTGATGGTATCTGCTGATGGTATCTGCTGATGGTATCTGCTGATGGTATCTGCTGATGGCATCTGCTGCTGCTGATGTGTCATTGCTGATGATGAATCACTGCTACTCCTTGTGCTAGTGCTGTTGCCACTGCTGCTGATATGAATGGGTGTCAAGACCCTACTGCTGGTGCTGTTGGTACTGATGCCACTCCTGCTGCAAGTGTTGGCGCACTGCTGCTGCTGGTACCTCCTGGTGGTAGCGGTCCAGCAGCCGAGCGACGTCCTGCAGGGAGGGACTGGAAAGTGACACCAGCTCCTGCTCCAGGGACGGCAGCTGCAAGGAAACCAGCAAACGGCACTCGCTTACAGCTACCATTCATGCTCTAAGCTCATGCAATAGCGATAATAATAATCACGTTATTTACGCAGTGCCGTGCCGTGCGGTGTCTTGGTCATAACATAAAAAAATAACGCAGTGCAGTGAATTCAGCGCAGTGTGGTTCGGTGGTGTATGTTGCGGTGTGCTACAGTAGGGGGCAGAGCTGCTGCATCTACCAGTCAACCCATGGCACCTGGATCTATCCAATGACCTCCAGCCAGCGAACCTTCGACACTTTACGTGGCCTCAAAGTGCACATGACCTGGCACAGGCGCCGTGGTGACGTCACCGTCACTTGGTGGCGAATCGCGGGTATTGGTATTGGTTGGGGGTGGTGCTGTGCGGTACGAAGCTGTGCGGTACAGCGCAGTGCGACGGCCCCACCCTAACGGCCTCACCCTAGCAGCCTCGGTGAAGTGCGTGGCGATGCCGGCGCGCTGCACATCGCGGCCCTTGAGCCGGAATCCCGTGAGCGCCAGGAAGAGGCCCAACCGCCCCGGAAGACGTGGGAGGAAGTAGCCACCCCCGACATCCGGAAAGAGACCTGCCATCGGCAGAGGGTAGAGGACAGGGCAATCGTCTATCTTCCACGATTGCTCTGATGAAGAGGTCCATGGTACACTGTGTTGTCAGCTCAGATCATCATCTCCCTCCACCTTGCTCAGTTCTCAACCTCACGGATCAGCTGGTTGTGGTTTAAACCGGCCCATTCTGCGACGTTCTGAATTCACCAAATTTTCCTTGGACGGCCACGTTTTTCTAGTTGCCTCAATGGTACCTTGTGGGATGGTTTTGGATAGGTTGCCGAATCTAATAACGCGGCAAAAGAACTCGTTTTTTTTATTATTGCGAGGCTGTGTTTTTTTCAGTCCTGATTGAATGGTAATTGTGCACATTGCTTGTTAGCCGTGGTCTGACAAAGGACACACCCCAAGTGAACGATGTATGTATGTTGAACTTCTTTCACACCGTATGTAGCAAACGATGCTAATCGGAGGTGCGGGGAAAGGACAACATACTAAACACGAAAAAATGTGTCTCACTGGCATCTGATCACAGGACAGACCCAGGTGTTATGTGTTAACCGAGTGAAACGAACAAAAACGCGCGCACACAAGCGTATATTTGTAACACTTTTCCCGTGGAGAGTTTTTTTTGCTGGGCTTACCGATGGCGGTTTCCGGCATGGCGAAGACCGTGCGCTCGGTGGCGACGCGAAAGTGCCCGTGCACCGACAGCCCGACGCCCTGCACCGGAGAAAAAAACACCGACCCGGAGTTAAGATCCAAATCCAGGGAGAAGAGACAGAGGCAAGCTTTAAACTAAAACAACTGCTTGCGTCTACTGCTGTGAGAGCGTGCAGAACGAGAGAGAGCGAGAGAGAGAAAGAACGAGCGAGAGAGCGAGAGAGCGAGCGAGCGAGAGAGTGAGCTAGAGAGTGAACGAGAGAGTGAGCGAGAGAGTGAGCAAGAGGTGGGGGTTTACATAAAGCAAAGTTTAAAAAAATTTAAATATAAAAAAATTTACGAAATGATGAACGAAGCAAAGTGCCGAATACACCGAGCATCTTCTTGTTTCCACTAATCGTAAAAAAAAGAGAGCCGATATTGGCAAGGATGGCCAATGACAGATCGCACATCAGCCTTTGATAGTGCAATGGAACAACCGTAACTAGTGCATGAGTCACCACTCAATAGCCTTGCCTCCAGGCTCATGCCTCATGGTATTGGCTACGTTCTCTAGATTATGACATAATCTCCGATTTATTGGCATGATCTTTGAACTATTCACAGTTCAATGCACTGGCATCTACGAACTACTCATATCATCTCTAAATATATTGCTGCCTTCCCTAGACCACAGGAATCATATATGAACTGCTGGCACCACCACCTAATCTACTGGCATCCTCTTTAGAGTGCCTAATTGGGCATCTGCTCGCTCTGCTGCTGCAGCCAACTTGCTCTGAAGATGCGTCTTGAGATACGTTTGTATCTTGACGTTATATTCATCCAAACTGCATTCTAGTTGTTCCGGGATGTTGCCGAAATATTCGCTCGCAGACAACTTACGCCTCCCATGGTGATGCCGTCTATAAGCGCCACGTACGGCTTCTTGAACGTCCCTAAGAACGGGCGGGAGAGACGCAAGAGCCACGCTCATATCACCCACGTGACCGACACAACCTAACCTCAATGGCAATATAATTAACAAAACCACGGAAATGTGCATTTGTACATCAATCGTGGACAAAACTTCTGCAACGAAGTGAGTTACAAGTTCTGAGCTGGCACTGCCAGACCCACGCAGCTGCTCGTGATGAAACTGCGTTTTCAAGTGTAGCAAGTTGACGGTCTTAGCCCAGTCACCAATGATTGCACAAAAACACAAACAAAGTAATTATATTATGGCTGTGCAGGCTAAATTTCAGCTCTGAAAATAAAAATGATCAGTTTGTTATGCAACAAAGTGTCTCTCTCTAGTAGTGTGGGTGAAAACGTTCTCACCGCCTAGTGTGCATAACAGACCATTTGCAAGGATCTCAGTAGTAGTTTTGTGATATCCGTGAGCCATTCTCTAACGCGAAGGATTGCAATGCTCTGCGAGAGATCCGAATGGATGCCTTCGTCTCACGGTAGGATGACAATATCACAACTGAGAACATTTCGAGGGAAAAAGATTAAATGTTGCGTTATTGAGGTGTGGACGCATACCGATAGCGTGGTTCAGGATGTATTCCTCTCGGAAGAAGTCCTTCGCCAGGCTGTCACCGCGCTTTCCTGACTCCATCACAGCTGCAACAATAAGACACAGGTCCCTAGTTTAGCCTTACAGGCCGTGGGAGGAGGCTGTTGTTAGGGAGCACCTATTGAGACCCGCACGGCACACTGTAGAAAGGGGAGGCCAGCACCACACTTGGCTGCCTTGATCTCTTCAGTGCTGCCATTCATACACTACCACATCAGACACTCGCATTCCATCCGATTCCACTTGGAGAAGTCCAGGGACAGGTTCTTGCTACATGAGCTCCATGAGCAACTGACGTTTGCCACAGGCAGGTAACCGACAAACTCGCGTGCAATGCAGCGACAACAACAGTTGCAGAACAACGATCAATTAGGCCCATGTGCTCATACCTCACGCCACACACACCACATATCGGCTCTGACCTCTGATGTCACCTCCAGCACAGAATGCTTTCTCGCCGGCACCCTTTATGATCACCATGCTGGTGGCGGGGTCTTCCTCCCATTTCTGAGATGTGACGAACGGAGACACACGCACGCACGCACACAAATACACACAAACACAAAGATCCTCCATATATCCTTTAGCAGGCTGTTGGGGCAAGTGCCGTATGCGAGCACCTATGAAGGCTGCCCTGGTACAAGATGGGGTGGTGCGGCCAACCCCACGCTCGGCCGTCTTTGTCTCCCCAATAATCTTTACACACTGCACCAGGTACTAATTTAGTCTGAGTCGACCTAGGGGGGGCCCAGCACCAGTTCAGTTATTCATCACCAGTGTTTGCTGTGAGCGGGAACCGGATTGTGCAGTACACTAACCACTGTGCTACTGCTCCCCACAAACATACACGCATGCAAACACATAAGACGACTTATGCATTGAATGCAGACACATTCAATGCACGTGCATTAGCAAAGGTCCAGCACATTGTGCCAGTATTAATTCGAGCAGCAGGTTGCACTAGTGGTGGGAGTGGTCCAAAGATGTGTACATGGCGGCATGTACGCACCTCACATACGTGCAACATGTACAGTGCATGCAAGTGCAGCGTATAGTAGTAGCTTTCATTATTGCAGCAGAAGCAGATGGCAATAGCAATGACAGTGGTTGATGCGTGTTGGGCATGAATGTACCTGTGTGATAGGTAAAATAATTGTACATGCAACCTAGTGTAGTAGCAGCATAACCTTGCAGCGGTAGGAGGTGGGCAAAGTAGCCAGTCGCAGAGATTCACAGGTGATCAATTGGCATGTACGGTACGTATTTATGATTCGGATATCGATTATTTTTCATTGGAAATGTCGTACTGGGCCCCGATTTGTGTTTGTGAGGATGAAACCAAATTCGGGATGAAACACATAGCCAGCGTGTGTGGGTGCACGAGGCTACACGTGGATTCTTGCGTGCAGCGCGTGACAGTTTCTGGCAATGATCCTGGTGGCAACAAGAGGCGGTGGGGTGGCAGCGGAAAATCGTGGTGGCAGTGGCGTAGACGAGGTCAGCATCGCCACCTTGAGCTGTGGGAGGATGTGGCGGATCATGGAGATGTTGAGGGCGTTGAGGACGCGGGGCCGGTTGAGCAGCGCCACCCCGGCGCAGCCCGTCCGTGCCAGCACCACCTCTGGCTCGGAGGCCGCGCTGCTTGCTGGCCTCATCGCCTGGCATGGGAGACACGAGATGCACGTGATAAAGCGTCCCCGGCCAAAGTAGCGAGTCCGTACGTTGCAACGTAGGTTTTTGTCGCGGTCGTTGTGTTACGGCTCTCCGATGTGTGTTTTTTCTTTTGCGATGGAACTGCGTGCTCTTCGCTATGACTTCCGATGTGTCGTGCCACGTGTTGGGAGCTTATCAGAGGTCGCAACCGGGTACCCGATACCCATACCCTACCCGATACCCGGCTACCCGTACCCGGCCGGGTACGGGTACCCATTTGCGACCCTGGTGCGGCCGGGTACGGGTAAGGAATCAAAACCCGTTTGCGACCTCTGGAGCTTATTCAGGAACTGAATTTGGACGCTTTGGCTGCATCGAGCGACTGGCTGTAATAAATGGCTGTACTGAGTGATTGCCTGTTCTGAATGACTCGGTGTCATGTGAGACTGGCCGAACTGATTGGCCATACTGTGAGTGTGGCTGTAGTGAGAAACTGGCTGTAGTGAGAGACTGACTGTACATGGAATCCTCCTCTACTTACGAACATTCGACTCACAAACTTTCAGAGATACGAACAAACCTGTCCATATATCCAATTATCTGTTGGGATCGAGCGGCGTAAGTTAAACCGCCGAGCGATAAATGGCGGTGGTGGCATCTACATCTGCAGAATATGAAGAACCGGTGGCATTTTTCGATTTAAAGCTTTCGTGACTGCAGGGATTCATCTTCTTGGTTCTTTTGGTAAAGTCACGTAGAAGGGAAGTAATAAAATAATAAAAATAAAACATAATAAAATAATTCTCACGACGTTTCGGCCACAACGCAAGCAGCCGTCCTCAGGTGAAGACCAGGTCTGTCGGGGAGACAGCGTTGTGGCCGAAACGTCGTGAGAATTATTTTATTATGTTTTATTTTTATTATTTTATTACTTCCCTTCTACGTGACTTTACCGAAAGAACCAAGAAGATGAACCGGTGGCATCTCATCTACAGGAGATTATACAACTTTTGAAACCATTCCCCGTGATTAGTTTGCATGCTGTACAACATGTTTGGAATCGACAAGCGGAAAGTTGGACTTATGAGTAAATCGACTTACGAACAGACCTCTGGTAATCTAACTCGTAGAGGAGTCCTTGTACTGTGACAGCAACTGAACTGTGATGCCCACGGCTGTACTGAGTGGCTGGTAGTCGAGTACTGCGAGACTGTTATTCAAGTACACGGCTCTACTACGTGCATGTCTATTCTGTGAGACTGTACAGAGAGGATCATTTGCTACAAATATTTATTCCACATGTGGATTGCAACATTAAAAAAATCAACTTGGCACTCATTGGGGCTGCGATCATTTCCACTGGCTGCCCTGAGTCAATTGAGAACATTCCACGTTACTATGGTGGGAACCGGTCTATCCATAATATAGCTGATATTGCTGACCTACAAGGTGGCGATTAGAGCTGGGAAGGTCCTTCATTAATTGAACAAAAATGTACAACTGGCGACCTCAATGTTGGCCATTATACCATGACAGCAATTCCTATAAAATAATAATTTCCATCTCTTTTGACAATCCACTGCTGGATGACGGCCGCAACCTCCACACTGTCAAGCGTCATGCATGCATCATGTGTACGGTTAATTAAGAAATAAACTCATTCAGACGCTGTCTTCCCGACAGACCTGTTCTTCACCTGAGGACGGCTGCTTGCGTTGTGGCCGAAACGTCGCGAGAATTATTTTATTCTGTTTTATTTTTATTATTTTATTTTTTCCCTTCTACGTGACTTTACCGAAAGAACCAAGAAGATGAATCCCTGCAGTCACGAAAGCTTTAAATCGAAATTTAAGAAATAAGCTTTACATTGAAAAAAAACGAGCACTCACGATGTGGTTGAGCGTTACATGGGCTCTGAAGAAGGATCTGCAACAACAACAAACACATCCAAGGCAGGATTTAGCGCATACTGCACACAGACGTGATCCCATGTGCAGCCTGCACAGACTGCTGGGGCTTTAAGTGCTGTTAGCGAGCAGCACCTATGAAGGCCGGCACAGCACACGTGGTGGTGGTGGTGTGACAGCACCACGCACGGCCGCCTTTGTCTCCCCCAGTTCTATTGTTTACACAGCACCAGGTATACAAAGACAAAGATCCCCCCCCCCTCCGTGTAGCCTTAACAGACTGTAGGGGCAAGTGCTGTTAGCGAGAAGCCGGCACGGCGCACACGAGAAGGTGGCAAGAACAGCAACCACACAGGCCCGACCGCCTTTGTCTCCCTGGCGGCGATGTTCACTACACTACCGCACCACGAACTAATATTTAATGCCGAGTCCACCTCGAGGAGGCCCACACACACATATACAGTGCATACAATAGGAAGCATCACTTCTTGACATTGCACGCACTGTACACGTCGTAGAGTATGATACACAGTTCGCCATTCCACCCTTCGCTCCGAGCAGAACCACACAAACACAGAGAGACAGAGACGACCACCTCACCAAGCAAAACAAACAAAACAATGTCAACAACAACAACCAACAACAAACAACAACCCAACCACCAAGGGCAGCCGACACGCAATCGATTAAAACGCAAATTACCGCCGGAATAGCTCAATCGGAGCTCATCACACGAGCCCCCCCCCCACCCTCCATGTAGTTAAATAGATTTATAATTCAAAGCGAAGTTGTTAATTTAGAGACTGTTGATGATTAAACTCCACGTCACCTGCACACGGGGAGGCGATGGCCCGGCATGGCTTTTGGTGGCTTCTGGTCCCAGTGGCCCGCACCGCTAGAGGTCGCTGTCAACACAACTACTACACTGCATCGCAATTATTTATATTTATAATTATTATTGTTGTACTGGGAGGAACCTCCTGGTTACACCAGCCCACAGGGGATTATTGTGTCCGTCCGTCCGTCGTGAAGGGAGGGGCTGGGTGGGGAAGGGCTGGGTGGGGAGTGTGGGGCTGGGTGGGGGGTGGGAGGGGAGGGGCTGGGTGGGGAGGGGCTGGGTGGGGAGGGTGGGGAGAGGCTGGGTGGGGGTGGGGCTGGGTGGGGAGGGGCTGGGTGGGGAGGGGCTGGGTAGGGAGGGTGGTGCTGGGTGGGGCTGGGTGGGGAGGGGCTGGGTGGGGAGGGGCTGGGTGGGGAGGGTGGGGAGGGTGGGGCTGGGTGAGGAGCGGAGTGTGGGGAGGGGCTGGGTGGGGAGGGTGGGGCTGGGTGGGCTGGGTGGGGGGTGGGAGGGCTGGAGCTGGGTGGGGAGGGGCTGGTCACCCCCGTGGTGCCCTTATAAAACTCAACGTTTAACCTACTCACGCCGGCTTGTGCCCACCCTCACAGTCGGCCATATTTCCGGAATACACCACGCCGCCGTTGACCCTGGCCATTGACCGAGAAACCCGACGTTCCTACCAGCTCCCTCCGCAGGAATGTGTTATTCCCCTCACCAAATCTTTAAACTTATTTTTCACGGTTGCGATGTAGTCGATGATCGTCGCAATGTGTCGCCGCAATCGAGAAATTTGCGGGTAAATCTTCAGGATTGGGATGCTTTGGCCAATACGTAGCACGAGTTACATTGTGTGTGGGGATTTTGTTTGCAATGTTTTTTTAAATAAAGTTATGAGAGGAAACCAGAGGAAACCCATGCAAAACATGGTGACGAACACACAAACTCAACCTCCCTCACACTTTCATACGCATTAAACCTCACTCACATTCTGCGGATCAGGGGAAGAAAAACATTTGCAAACTCAATCTTCCTCAACCTCCCTCACACTTTCATACGCACTGAACCTCACTCACTCTCTGTGGGTCACGGGGGGGTCAACATGCAAACCCATTGTTTTAACCGGGATATCGAGTCGTGTGATAACACTGTGTAACACATTTTTTTTTGTTCCTGGGTAGTAAGTGGTATTTCCTAATTGCTTATGCCTCAAAAGTACAGAAAATGGCTATTATTCCCCACAAACTTTGCTTTTGTGACCAGGACAGTGATATTTTGAAATTTACCTATTTTCAATAAAAAAAAACTGGCGAATTTGTCTTTTCGTTCACATAAAGTCAGAAAATAAACATATGAATAAAAATTAACATGTATTTATATTAAAGTAATACAAAAATCACTACAAAATATTTAGAAGTGAGTAGTTTTTCGAGATTTACGATTATACTGTAAATCACTTTCACGAATCAGCCCCCAAATGTAGTCTCCCATCATGTTCTCGTTATCCTGACCTTGGTAGCGGCGTTCAAAGTCTCAGTTTATTTTTTGTTGACTTTCTTTTTTATTATTTTTCTATTTACGTGACGTCACCGAAGAACCAAAGAATATGAATTCCTGCAGTCCCGAAAGTTAAGTCGAAATAACATTTACTACCCAGGAACAAAAATTGTGTTACATAATGTAATCATTAGACCAGGGACGGCATCCAATGTGTATCCAGGAAAATCTAAAGGAACTTATTTAATCAAATTTGCTTCATTAAAACAGTTTCAAATCCTTCAGGAATAATGGGTTCATGTGATCTTTGCAGGGAAACTTCAACAGACTGGTCTATAAACCATGAGAATAAAACCAGGTTAGGTTTCTCAAAATGTAGTAAATTATAACCCACTTCAAGCATAAACAAAATACAATATGGTCGTTCTTTTTTAACGCTCTGGTAAGAAAACTTTTATTTACTAGCGAGTACCTATTAACAATTATATAACGTTTATTTTTAAATATTAGAGCCATAGTACAGTACACAAATTATAATAAAGGCAGACCACAATTTCAATATGGCCTTCCCATTGTAGACTGTGGTTGCCCCTGTAACTCACTATGAAACCCTTGGTTTGCAATAGGCAGGAGATATGAAAAAAATTCCATTTGGAACTCTCACGGAAGAATACGTCACCCGGTCTACAGTTTTCTCAGCGCTGGATTTTTCTCACAAATTAAGTGAGTTACAAAAAAACATACTTATTTCTGCAAAATCATTGGTGACCAGGCTGAGCCCATCAATTCACACTGCACGAGGGAACCCAATCACGAGTGGCTGAAGCCAGCTCGGAGCCTTGAGCCACCCATGTGTCGGGGTTCTAAGTGTGCAGTCATTGGAAACCTGGCTTTCTAAAAACCACCAAATCACTTGGTTGTCTCTAAACCACGAGCCCCAGCAAGTGCTGGGCTCAGTGTCCGACATTCATCATTCACCATGCGTCAAGTCAGCCAAGTCCACATGGGGGCGCCATTTCACATCTGTTGACGCCATTTTACATTTTCTGGAGTCTCAGTTGACTAACAAGTAAACCCGTAAAAACAAAGTTTTTCACTATAAATCCTTTATATGCGTGGCGGCTAGTCTTCTCGTCCTCTGGCTTGAGATGGCTGCCACCTATGGGTCAGATGATTGTCTGCCAGTATTTAGCAATTGGTAATTAAATATTTAATTTGTTTTCCCTAAACAGTGTAAAATTTTTGAATATTTTTTTTCACGAACATTAATTATCTCGCACAACGAGTCTGTATGCAAAATGTCAGCTCGATTGGATCACGGGAAGTGGGTTAAAAAACGACCGAAAGATTTGCACGGTCGTAAGCAAGCAAGCACGCAAGCAAGCGAACTTAATATAAAGGATTTAAAAAAAACTAGCAGCCACTCATAACCCAATTGTCTTCGGCGTTAGGCCACGTGTTGGGCAATTCTTGAGAGCCTTTGCCATGCTCTCCTGTGGGCATCACAACAAGGAGAAGCTTTCGCCACATCCCGAATATGTCCAGAGAAGTACGTGGAGAAACCTCGTCAAGTCGCCTAACTCGGAATATTAACCTTCGGTTCATCAATAACTTTGTTCGCGGACTGAAGTGCACATGTACTGCATTAAGAAGAACTGTAACACCAACGTGCTTTTATTGCAAGCTTTAATTAAAATGTTGACACCCCAGTCATAAAAATGTAACGATACAAAAGGCATGTCCGACAACACGCACACATCCACAGGTGGCCCCGATGATGCCCCATGCATTTGCCAAGACGCGCAAGACAGCCCTCAGTTATAGTTAGATAAAAGACGGGTACATTAGTGTAACGCATGTAGCCATTTCATATTCAGGTTACTGACCCAAACCTGATGCTACTGGCAGACTCCCTTAAACCAAAATATATTTCGTACTGGCGACCGCTAAAATGACACGTTAACACACTTTGGCTGTGATTAAACGTGTCGCAACACTGCACGAAAATAAATCAACCCACGGGACAATAAAAACAAGTTCAGCACTAAATGAATAAAGAATAAAACGACAAACGTGCACATCACTTCAGAACATACGCAGTCCAGCGAGGTCCCCGAAGGCCTGGCCATCATGAGCCGTGGCCACAGCAGAGTTATAATCCACAATGTCATCCCTTTTAGTAAATTGCACGTGTTCATCCTCTTGTGAGCTCCTTAGCACCTTGGATGTCCAGTCAGTCCTTAATGATTAAATCACCAGCACCACGCAAGCTACCATAGGGATGAGGGTAGAGGTTTTGATGTTAACCACGAGGCAATGTAACAATCCGACCATCTCGCGATTTAATGAATTGTTACGCTTCAAGGTCACGTTTTGATTCAAGAATCGATCCCTCTTTTGTCAAATTTTTGCAGTCTCTTTTGCTTTTTTGCCTAAATGAGACTGGCCCCCATGGTGAAATATCCAGCAATGGTTGAGGGTAAACATTTTTAAACGATCTTTTTTAATAAAAATAAACTTTTTTTATTTGACCCAATAACCTAAAACGGAAAGCCTAAATCAGGTTCATATGTGAATTGACAACGATGTCGTGACCTGGAATTTAACCGATGTGGCTCATATGGATGTGACAATTTACCCCCCCCCCACACCTCGACAATTCAATGAATTCGGGTCAATATTACAACCGGTCTAGTCTTGTTTCTGTCAGTCTCGCTCGCTCCACAAGCCTCAATGTAACAGAGCAAGTAATTCACATATAACGTTAATAATGTATTCTCACAGGTGCACAGATGATTGCAAGTATCGCGAGCGATTGTAACCGATAAAAACGTGTCGTGCCCACTGGTGTTTGTAGCAGGAAAGACACCAGAACCAAGGAGCACTCGATAATCTCCTTGCTGTTTTGAAGACCGGTTCCGAGCTAGTTCATTGGCCCACATGGAAACAGCTACATTTGAGAAGCACAATTCACAACGCTCGGCAAAGTGTCGAGGTCGTGACCTCATAGTCAGGTTAGCCAGTCTCCTCGTACAAACAACAGTGCAATGTCCAGGAGTTGTTTCATTGTTTGCACCCGTTTGTTTTCAATCCCTTTATCAAAAGTATATTTTTTTCTGTAATAGAGCACACTTAAAATAAACAAGTAACGTAAGTATGGCTCTCCGATAAGCTCTCTGGTTGAACCGGGTGTATATTCGGCAAAATGTACGACGTCCTGTTCCACGTGCGGAGCCGCTTCAGGAACAGAAGGAACTGAAGAAGCTCGCAGCAAGTACAGCGAAACGTCGGACATCATTCTGCACAACCTCGAAAACAGAGCGGAGAGCAATATAACACCACAGCCGCAAAAATCTAAGAAGTAACACAAGTATTGACAGGAGGGGCTGGTCACCACGTTTTGAACGCGAGTTATTAAATCCACACACTTACTTTTGCAATATGGTTTCGAAGAACATCCACGTTGCTCGAATGGCGAACACAGACGTGTCTTAAAATAACACCTCTCTTGAAACCCTTCCGGTCTAGATTCAATCCCTCGTTTTCGAAACATTCCAACCGCTCTCCTGTACACATACCATACAATACACAAAGTTATATACAAAACATTCTATGCATGTTTGGTTATATTGGTACAGATATGTAACCTACCAATTACATACATGAGAATTAAGTGCTGTCCCCGTTTGCATGATGACAATGAGCTGGTTTAATGCGCCTCAGAAGCCAAGCAGGAGCCTGAGCATTGCTTAGATGATTGGCCACCAAGTATTATGCACTGTGGCCAGTTGACGGCAGTGCAGAAAAATCCATTGTTTTGTACTCTCACTACATTCACCAACCAGTACGGTGAAGTATGGGTGAATAACCCTCACTGCCTACAGTGTGGGATGCCCTCATCCAGCAGCGTAGTGAGAAACGGGCCGGACATGTACTCATCTAAAGCCGTACGCTCGCAGACTGTGGGGTGGCGACTTTGACACCACGACCAGTAAACAAAATGTTATCTTCGGTCTCTACGGCGCGAATCTGAACCGACCCGCGTCCATCTCTACAGCAGTGAACAAAGCTCGCTCGGCAAAAGATGTCACAATAACGGTAAATAAATAACCAATGAGCGCAGCAGGCGCTGCTGCACTTCGCGCAAAGACAAATAGCGGTCACAACAAAAATTGCACGAAGTTCGATGGTCCCTTTTTCACGATAATTAAAATTATTACAACGTCTATTTAATTAATGGGTTACTAATTTGTGCCATTTGGATAGGCCATGTCGTGATATTCCAATCATATTAACTTTCATTTCAGAAAAGCTATTGTACATTAGCGGTGGGGGGGGAGATACCAATTGCATACCAAAATATCGCTTATTTTGTTCCAAAGCATGTTTTGTAAATATTGTAAATGGGTTCCTCTGACAACCCTTTGCCGCTACAAACCGACCCATACCCATACATACGTGTAAAAAAACCTGCGCACAAGCACTTATATTTAAAAGTACAAGCCCTCCCCGCCGAAACCTAAGCTCTGCTTGGCGTGAGTTCAACTGCAGAGATGCGCGACCTCCACTGGGTGGCAAGCGACGCTCACTGCCCACAAAAGTAACCGACACTCCCATCGCCCTGGGAAGCCGGGTGGAGAAGGCGGCCTTGGCGTTGTTTCCATTTTTTTAACAGCCCACTGCCCCTTCCTTCCCCCCACCCAGTTTTACGCCGATTGTGTTATCAGCATCATGTTATGACCCTACGTATCCAATGGGATTGCTCGCAGAGCAGTGCATCCCTCTACGTTACAGAACGGCTCACAGAAGCGGATATCGCAGAACAATCTTTGAGATCTCTTCAAGTGACCTCGTGTCCACATGGCAAAGGGCAACGCTTTCCCACCCGCTCTACATATGAGAGTAATGTTCATCTCACGCATAGTCAGACTGAGCTAAAACTTCACAAAAATAAGCGCAGAGCCAAATTTTGATGCCATTGCTTTAAAAAAAAGCCAGTCATAAGTGACTGGGCTGAGATCATCAACTCTCTATACTTGGAAGCCTGGGATAATCACAGGCGGGTGAAACCTGTATTCGAACCCAGCATCTTGGCAGCGCCAGCTCAGCGCTCTGACCACGAGGTTGTATTTCAAGGGGTGGCTTGGGGGGGGGGGTGCGTAGGTGTCGTGAGCGATGACAGGGGGTGAGACCCCACGTCTCAGAAGTCCATGAGCAGGCTGAACTCGGCAAATTCCCGGCGGTAGCCGAAGGAGAAGGCTGCAAGCAGCAGCGCCCACAGCAGCGCCAGCGCGCTCGCCAGCGCGCTCCAGTACAGACTCCGCGGGTCTTTCATCGCTGTGCAAAAAAACGGGAGATGAGCGGGAAAAAAAGGTCAAGCTCAGGGTGGCGAGCGCCAAGACACACGCCGACCGCAAAACGATCGGCGGCGCACCGCGGTACAGGTTTTCCTCTGCGTCTAACAACCATGTTGGAGTCTGTGTTGCTCCTTTCAAGGCAACGCCGAAAAGAAGGAACCCGGAAATTAAGTTGCATAAATAAAGTTGCACTTGTGGCTATGTTCTCGGGTGGTACCGCGTGTCGTTGGGCATGATGTCCGACGTTTCACTCCGCGTGCTGGATGGGAGCATCTTCAGGAACCGCATTGAGCAGCTCAAATTTAAGGAGAAAATAATTTTTAAAATGGGACCTTTTTGCCAGTATCAAAGTATTAAAAATAAGATTAGGTGTAACCCATTCTGGCAATAAAACAGGTGTTAAGATTTCGATTTAAAGCTTTCGTGACTGCAGGGATTCGTCTTCTTGGTTCTTTCGGTAAAGTCACGTAGAAGGGAAAAAATAAAATAATAAAAATAAAACAATAAAATACAATTCTCACGACCTCAATATTTCGAAGAGCCATTCAGACGCTGTCTTTCCGACAGACCTGTTCCTCACCTGAGGACGGCTGCTTGCGTTGTGGCCGAAACGTCGTGAGAATTGTATTTTATTGTTATATTTTTATTATTTTATTATTTCCCTTCTACATGACTTTACAGAAAGAACCAAGAAGAGGTATTAAGATGTTCAAACACCAAACATAAACATTTTAAAAAGCAATCAAGTTCGCATTAACCACACGTACTTATGGTGAACATGCATGCAAACAAACGTGCTCCGATACAACAAACGTGCACTTTGAGAAATAATAAGTCGCTCAACTCGGTCCCTTGTAAACAAACACCCAAACACGTGGGGCGAACCGTCAAGACATCATGACGAAAAACAGGCGGGATCACCCGAGAACACATCGGAGAGTGATTACGTTTGTCACGCGACAGACAACTCTTAAAAAGCAGAAGCGTGTGAGAAGGCGCGGGAGCCAGTGCGGATGAGAGGTAAATGAATGGACCTCACAAGTAGATCTGTGATCTGATACCATCTAGAGGCTGCGCTAAAACGGGACCACGTTAATGCTTGCTCTCTGCCAGGGGGCCCCCCGAATGAAAATCTGTACCCTCCGTGGCCACACAACACCGACAGATCAAATGCCATGCTGTTAAAAGAAACAAAAATCCAAAAACATTATGTAAAAAAAAAGTCAGCAATTCCCAAAGATCCACTTCACGGACTGAAAAATAAATAATATTTTCCCTTTGAATAGGAATGCCTGACACTGCCGACAGGCTATGAATAGGCAATGTGGCTCAGCTTGGGTTTCATGGCTAATGAGCTGTGTTACCACAAATATCACGACGGGCCCTGTCGGTGAACTACTGCGTGGACGGTGCTAATTGTGGTCGGCTTTTCAATTAAACAATAAAAACACAAGTGCGCTTCGCGATTTAGTGTTCACCGATGAGCATCGTGCAAACGAAAGCCAAATAGTGCAAACAGCAAGGATGAGCGGAGGCGCAGTGGTTAGCGTACTGCGCTATGTACCAGGTGACCTGAATTATATTCTAGAATCGGTCCTCGTCCTCCTCCAGGTAAACTCAGCCTCAAATGTTCACAATACTTGCCGAGCAGTCTATTAAAGGTTAGACACCTCGAATTATCATGTTTGGCTACGTACGGAGCGAAAGAAGTTCAACATACATACATGGGGATCTTTGTTTTTGTGCATGAGAGTAGTGGCGGTGGTGCAGTAATTACCGCACTGCGTTATGAATCTGGTGATCTCTATTCAATTCCCGACAATGGCTAACACAAGTGGTGAGTGATGTTTGAACCAGTTCTGGGCACCCCACCATCACCAACCAGCATTGACCTGCCTGGTGAAGTATGGTCAAACAGCCCCCATGAGTGTGTGCTTTATTCAGCAGTGGATTGGCAAAAGGGGCAGTGAATTACTTTGAATCAATAAAACAAAAAAACCACACTAACTCCAAAACACATGATCACACGAGCAGAGATTATTACAAACTCATCCATTGCTGTGCAGCATTATGGGTAAGAGCACAGATGAGCATATATCTGTTCTGTGTGTCAACATTAATCATTTTTCCGTCCATCAGCCTGTTGGCTTTCTAGATCAATTATAATCCAGCTGTATTTGTGTAAGAACGGAAACTCTGGAACGATTGAAACCGTCCGGGTCCCATCAGCAGCGTTAAATAAACGCTGCTGGATTGCCAGATGCTCGTGTACAGCAACATCTTGGAGCCCAGGTCCAACTCATTTTGTGAAGTTTGCGAGTCTAGTCCATAAGCTGGTGGTATAGAGTTGGTAAAGATTCACATCCCACCCAACTCACAACCCTCCGCCGCCAAACATTTGCCCAATTGTCACGTCTTCGAGAATGAAGATATTATTTGTCTTGTTTGTACGGCCTCATTTGCAATGTGCACCTCATGTGTCCATGGATTACGTCTATCGGTGTGGAGTTTTGAGCGTAACGCTCTGGTATGCATGGTGGGTTTTCCCCAGATCTCTCCAGTTATTGAAAAAAAAATGTGGTCGTCCGAGTGCGATGTGGCTCGTGCGGTGTAGACGGAACGGTGTGGAGAGGGCGGTAAGGTGGTGTGGACCGAATGGCATGGCCGTACTCTCTTGTCTGTGGCAGGCGAGGGCAAGCATCGTGATGCTGCCCGTCAGTGCGATGAGCGACGCCAGCACTCCGCCTGCCAGGAAGTAGCGGAGGCCCCGCAGCCAGCTGCGCCAGTAGTCCTGCAGGTACATGGCGTGGGTGACGAACACCCACAGCGCCAGCACACCTGCAACAAACACAACAAGAGGCAGCGATTCCCATGCTTAGATTGCGTGGAAAGTTGCGGCAGATCGTCAGGAAGCACCGATTAAGGTTAGCACGGCGCACGAATGAGGAGGCGGTGCAAACTAGAGCTGGGATAATCAATCGACTAAAAAATTTAGATTGGCTCTTTTCGCATTCAATTACACAAGCCCATTTAAAACTGTTGGTTGCCCTGGTATACTGCCTTCCGAAGGCATGAAACCCCCGATATTTAATCCATGCCCAACGTGATGCGGCCGATTATGCAGGCGATGTCACCGAGCTCTGCCCATCACCCCCCCCCACCTCCGTCGAGCGGAAGACGTGAGAACAAACGTGAGGTTTTTTTTATTTTCTCCCCAACTATGTTTGTCTCATCCAATGAGTGGTGTACTCGAATCGATAAACAGTCATCAATTCCTTGAAATATTTGGATAGCCCAGCTCTTGATCGGCAGCGTCCGTCAAACGCTTGTTGCTCAAGGCCAACGGGGCCAAGAGCGTGGGCATGAAGCAACCGGGAAGCCTGTGTTTGCCACCGCCGGTCAGCCAATAGGGAGGACGCTGCCATGGCGTAACGGTTGCCACATGAGACCCGCAATGCAGGTGCCGCCGGTTCCATCTCACGGCCGCTGCAGTTGAGACAACGTTCCAAATTTCTTAATGCCACCCCACCCCCCACCACGTCTGTCGGCCCAGCAGATAGGCAGATCGCTTAGGGTGCGGAAACGTGCAAGTACTCAGACCCCTTTCCACGTGGAAGAGTAGGCCAAATACCTTCGAGAGCGGCCCTTTCTAAAGCTCCATCTAATATGAGAACCTTCCAGCAGCAGTGGCATGAGCAAGCAATTGCAGGGCTGCACCTTTACCATTTTACTATGGCGTGGGATGCAGACTGATACACCTGCATGCCAGCAAATCCACGGACTGCGGTGAGGCAGGGTGGGTGGGTGCGAGGTGTGTGTGGGGTGGAGAATGGTGGCACAGTGGTTCGCACACTGCACTATGAACCCAGACATCTGAATTCAATTCCCGGCGATGGCTGATTATATATAATCAGTGGCGATTATCCAAACCGGTCCTGGGAGCTCCCCTCGTTCGACTCGGCCTTAAATGAGTACTTTGTGCAGTGTGCAAACATCGGAAACTGAGGAGACAAAGGCGGGCGCTGCCAGGCGTGGTGCTGGCCACACCACCACCTCGTGCTGGCTTTGAAACATGCTTGCTAACAGCACTTGTCCTCAACAGTCTCGTGCAGGCTACACGGGGGAACTTTGTCTTTATGTGTGTATGTGTGTGTGTATGTGACCTCACAACAGTGGGGAGCGGTAGTGTAGTGGTTAGCACGCTGCGCTATGAACCTGGCGACCCGGGTTCGATTCCCGCTCACGGCCAACACCAGTGACGATTATCTGAACCGGTCCTGGGCCTCCCCGAGGTCGACTCAGCCTTAAATGAGTACCTGGTGCGGTGTGTAAACATCGCCACTGGGGAGACAAAGGCGGTCGGGCGTGGTGCTGGCCACCCACCCCCTCGTGTACCGTCCCGGCCTTCATAGGTGCTCGCTAACAGCACTTGCCCCTACAGTCTGTTAAGGCTACACGGGGGACCTTTGTGTGTGACCTCACAACAGCAAGCAGAGGCACGCCGGTCAACCGGCTAGCGCCTGCCCGCCCGCAGGCAGTTAGCCAGGGTGTGGACACTTAACATTTGCGGCCAACTCGTTTGTTTTAAATTTTAAAACACCTTACACACACGTATATATACACATTACGAGGATATTTTCATCTACAAAGAAAAAGTTCCCCCGTATCGCCTTTTAATCAGACTATTGGGGAAAGTGCTGTTAGCGAGCACCTGTGAAGGCCGGCGTTGTGCACGAATGGGGTTTGGTGGCCAGCACCACTCCTGGCAACCTTTACCGATGCCACCCCAGTGCTGCTGATTGGACCATTGCACCAGGTACTTAATTCAGGCTGAGCCGACTTAGGAAAGGCCGTGGCTGGAAATCGAATGCAGGTCAAACACAGGTCGCTGGGTTCGTGGCACAGCGCACGAACCAATGCGCAACCGCTCCCCACTCACGCACGAGGCATAACATCTCCTTAGTGGCCCACACATAGATACTTAGCAGTGGGCCACAGCACACATCCACATGTCAGCATGCCAGCCTTAAAAAAGTGCTCGCAAGAAGCACTTTCCTCAACAGTCCGTAAAAACCATGCAGCCACGGCTCCACCCATGCACACACGAGTCACGTACAAAGACAAAGATCCCCCGTATGGCCTTAATAGACTGTTGGGGCAAGTGCTGTTAGCGAGCAACCTATGAAGGCCGGCACGGCACACGAGGACGTGGGTGGCCAGCACCACGCCCGACCGCCTTTGTCTCCCCAGTGGAGATGTTTACACACCGCACAAGGTACTCATTTGAGGCTGAGTCGACCGAGGGGATGCCATGAACCGGTGCGGAAAATCGTCACTGGGTGTTGGCCGTGATCAGGAATCGAATTCGGGAATCGAATTCGGGTCTCCGGGTTCGTAGCGTATAGCTCTAACCACTACACCACCGCTCCCCACACCAGACACACGTGCACACACACACACACGCACTCTCACATACCAGCACGTGAGCACATTCACAACGCCAGGGTCGGGCCAGAGGCGCGCGCGCACACAGGGAAATTACGGTAGGACAGCGGAATGTTTTGAAAGTGAACCGGGGCAGGATTTACTCGGGGTTGGAAAGGAGGTGGGGGGGAAAAGACGGAAAAACATTTAAACTGAAGTCTCCATGCCAATAAGCCCCCGCCTCCACCCCTCCCTCCCCCAAAGAGCCCCCCCTCGCCCCCCTCCCCATCATCTCAGTTTCCTCCCACCCCACCATCCATTCCCCAGGGTCTACTCTGTGAGCTGCTGGTCCGTCAAGGACTAAATTTGGTGCAGAGGGTGAGGGAGTGTAGTTCCTCTGGCGCTCGAACTGGGTTACTATTTAGATTATGTTGCTGCTAGAAATTTCCACATGATCAGCCACTTTGTTGAGCTAACATTTGTGGCCAGGTTGCTTCTGAAAAATAAGTTCATAGCTGAGTGAAAAAAAAGTTTAGTTTTTTTAAAATATTTTGTATAAGTGATTTGTTTACATATTCTTGGTTCTTTCGGTAAAGTCACGTAGAAGGGAAATAATAAAATAATATAAATATAAAACAAAAAAATTTCTCACGACGTTTCGACTGCAACACAAGCAATCATCATCAGGTATGAAATCCACAGCAATAATTTTTTTATTGTTTTATATTTATATTATTTTATTATTTCCCTTCTACGTGACTTTACCAAAAGAACCAAGAATATGAATCCCTGCAGTCACGAAAGCTTTAAGTCAAAATGTGATTTGTTTACCTTTCCTATACTATGAACTCCTATGTGTTTTTGTATTGTTTGTTATTGCAACGTTCTGACCCCGTGCCCCTACTGGACATCTGTGAAAAAGAGATTTATAGCTCATCAGATTCCTCCTGCAGTATAAATACATATTCTGATGCTAATTCTGGGTTCACTTGCCCAGCTCAAGACTCTACAAAGCCCAACCATAGCCACCATCATCCTGCTCATGACTTCACCAAATCGGCCATCGCGTTTATAACTCCGAAAACAATAAGTAATATTTTAAAAAACTTTTTTTAAAAACACGCTTTAATTAAATGTACCGTACGAGTAATGGCAGAACTCCACGACTCCAGGAAGTGGCCCCGAAGCTTGCCATAACGTAAGGGACCGTGGTCATTTACAGGCAACGTCAGTTGAGCGTGGACAATTAGACCCAAGCCGAAACATAACATATAAAAAATGTTAAAAAATATATTGTTTTTATTATAGAATATAGTATTGTCATCAGTATGACATACGTATACCAAGTTTGCAGTCGATACCACATTGGGAAGTGGGTTAAAATTGAGTTACAAGATTTGAGGATACAACAACGACAGGAAGAGCGAGTTAAAAAAAAGCGTGTAACAAAAGGAGACTTGCAAGGACGAGCATTGGTGCCGAACGTCGCCGTGAACTTCAACACAAGAAATGTCTCGATTTAAAGCTTTCGTGACTGCAGGGATTCATCTTCTTGGTTCTTTCGGTAAAGTCACGTAGAAGGGAAATAATAAAATAATAAAAAATAATAAAATAATTCTCACGACGTTTCGGCCACAACGCAAGCAGCCATCCTAGTTTTCACCTGGTTTTCACCTGAAGACGGCTGCTTACGTTGTGGCCGAAATGTCGTGAGAATTATTTTATTATGTTTTATTTTTATTATTTTATTACTTCCCTTCTACATGACTTTACCGAAAGAACCAAGACGACAAGAAATGTCTTTTTACAAAATACGAGTTGCAAGTTTGCGACTACTTCACCGCCAGCCTGAAGTATGGTCAAGTAACCCTAAATATCTGCGCGGATGGGCATTCAGCCAGCAGTGGATTGACAAACGGGTTGTACAAAGCGATCAGCTCATAATTGGAGGTCACGGGGTCAAATCCTGGTTGGGAGTTGACTCAGCCCAGCATCCCTCTGGGTGCCACGGTGGCAAGACGTTAACTCGTCTGGTATGCAGGTCGTGGGTTCGATCCCGACCTTGACGCCTGCTGTACATTTGTAGTTTGCGTGTCTGTCTCTCTCTAGTCGCGTGGATTTTTCTAGGGGGTCCTCCGGTTTTCCCCTGCACATTTAGAAACGTGACTTTATATTATTTGGCTGCTGTTAATTTCCACACGATAAGCCACTTCGTTGAGCTATCATATGTGGCCAGGTGCTCTTCTGAAAAATGGCTATATAGCTCAGTGGGCATTACCTGGTAGAATTAAAATAGTATAATAAGTACTACTGTGTGTACTGGTTGATTGTCCTATGGATAGACTCACTCCCACCATAGGTATGTGGAATTTCCACCACTTGCTTTGCAGGGCTGTAAACGGAAGATAGGCACC